GAGAAGGGATGGCACCACAGAGGTGGAAGAATTGAAAATGCCAGGTGAGGATCCATCTGTGAGGACTGAAGGGGATAACAAAAACGGAGGGGAAAAAATCACAGATTATACAGCAAAACGTGTGGGGCTAGGATCACCAGGCCTGTCTACAGGGGTAAGGGACTACTCACAAGGCTGCAAAAACCTGTCCTAACCTCATAAGGGGAAAATTTTATTGATATTTACTTTGGGCTCCGTGTGTGGCCCTCTTCCAAAGAGTTCAGGGTGCTTCGAATGCAATAATGAATTCTTTCTCCCCTGCCGTTCCCACATGCCAATGCCCGGATTTCACTACAGGAAATCAACACCCTTATGCAAAGCATTCTGAATAAAACACTCTGCTACCAGACCTGCTTATGGGACAGACTGCCACCTTCTGTCTCCCCATCTGCCTATTCCCTGCCAACTCCCTCTTCAGGCATTTTTCTTGGTTTTCTCCAACCTTCATTCCAGCCCCCAACCCCACACAGATTAAGGCACCTGGTGACAACCAAAGCCCTCAGGACACAAGCGTCTCGAGCGAAAACGGGCCTGACCCTCCCCACAGATGGCTCACCTGTTTTGTGTTTTTTCAGGCAAATATGCCCCCAATGGTAGAAGCTAAGATGATCGCAAGGATGACGCAGCAGATCATGATCATGATCTTCTTCTGCTCATCCAGACAAGGAAAGAAAAGCACGTGAGAAACGGTGTCACTGCAGAGAGGGTTCCAGAGGAAGGGAGACGAGGGTGGGTCTGGGCATGGAAGCAGATGTGAAGGTAAAGGGAGATGGATCTGGCTTCTAGAACCCAGGGTACTAAGAGAAATGTTACTTCTCGGTGAGAGGTGCAAAAATCAGATCAACAGCAAGCTCAGAGGATGTTTCGCATGTTGTTCTGCCTTCCGGCTGCCATCATATCAGATTTACCCCACTTCCCCCCAGAGCCAGATACTCTCAGTGAGTCAGCTGAAGTCTTTTGTGGGGGGGGAGGGGATTCCCTTGAAATCTAAGACTCAAATACAGTTACACTGCACTCTGTGAGAGTTAAACCATTTTCAAAAATTAGAACTTTTGATCCATCTGATGTAGCACATGGTTAAAAAAATATATAACCCCTTTCTGAAACCTAAACAAAAGTCATCACATGGTGGCAGCCACCAAGTGTTTTACAGGGACATCGAGCCAGAACTGTTTCACAATCAAACTCATTTATTTTTAAATTAGCAATAAAATAATCAAGTTTACATTTTAAAAAAAAGTACAAAGAAAGAACAAAAATCCCTTCACTTGTATTCCAAACTATAAGCCCCAGGCCTCAATCTCAGGAGAGCAAAGATCTGTGATTGAAGCTTGTCTGCCCTCGTTGCCGGAGCCAGGCCTGTTGGACATCACAGCCATAGGCAAGAGGGCGTCCCCTTGGCTCTGTCCAAGTGCTGGGCAATGATTAGGAGTAATCATTCCTTTGCAGAGGAAGCCAATGGACCATGCCTGGGTTAGGGTGCTCGCCCTGTCCTAGAAGGCATTAAAGTCAAAGGTGAAATATCAATCCGGGAGGCTGGCAGAGACCAGCAGGGAATCTAAGGGCTCACACTGGCTCAGCACGGTCACTACACTTAAAAATTTCCTGGCTCTTCTTTGCTCCATGACAAGTGGGGGCGACAAAGCATCTATGAAGCTCATTAATCTGGGAGCAGGAACAGCTGCTGAGTAGACCCTGGCCTCCCCGAGCTGACTCCACCCCGGAGACAGGACGTCCCAAAGGTCACATGAACGGTACCAGATTGCTGTGGGACGTTCTTAGGACAAGCCTAGCCCAGGCAGCAAGTGGGGAGAGGTGTCGAGCTCGTCCCACCTTCTGTCTGCTAAAACCCTAACGGGGATCACCCCGTTAGGTCCTCGCCCCAGCCATCTGTGATCCCTCCGAGCGCTGGTGCAGAAAACAGCAGGTTTCCCGAAGATGTGGGAAGATCACATTTCTACTATGATTCATTTGCAGGTAAGCAAATGTCTCTTACCTAATTTTTAGCCTAGCTCAAGTTATTTTTTTGAGGTTATAATAACCTCATTTCCAGTTTCCTACTTCCTGAGAGACACATACATATATGTACATACATCTCACACACACGATTATAAAAATACAATTGGAACACATGAAATGACTGAATACTCATACTCGCCCAAGCCTGAAACATTCCCAGAGCCTGAGACTCAAGCACCTCATCCCTGGCCTAACTTTAGTGCCTGGTTATTCTGGGCCTCAAGGCAATGGCTTCACAAAGCATCACTCTAACAGTAAACAGCCAGTTCCCAAGACTGAGACAAGCAAACAGTTACTCCATATACCCCAGCCTTTACAGACGGTAACCTCAGACGACTGTCTCATGGCTGCGCCTCCTTGAGTCAACATGAGGGAGTACAACATGGACAGAGATCGAGTTGGCCATCGAGCGGAACACACTAAGAGCTTAATTTGAGGCTGAATTTCAAACAAGTCAGCTTCCAAGACCAGAACGACCTCTGCCAGTCCCTCCTACTTTCAGGACAGGGACGACAAGCCACGAGGACTGGGATCCTGCCAGGTAGAAGACGCAGGTCCAAGCCTTACTGTTGCCCAACTTGGAAGAATCCCCTTGCTTTGTTAAAGATATCCCCCCCGCCCCCCCAAAAAATACACTGCGATTCTGGGGAGAACACTCCATGAGGTAGAAAATACAGCACCTTGGGGAGGTCGCAGGTGGGCTCTCCAAGGTGCGGGGCATGATTTGACACATCAGAGGAGAGAAGGAGCAGCGGGGCCGCTCCTACAGCCCAGGGGACGCGCTTCAGAGTCGGTGGGACGGGAGAAGGCCCTGAGGGCTGCATCAGTAGATTTCTCCTGGGCTAGACTGTTTGCTGGGTCAGGTCCAAGGTTGGTTACAAGAAAACAAGGGAACAGGTCCCACTCTCTCTCAGAAGGCCATTCACACTCCGTTCCCATCTGAAGACGAGGGCGGCCAAACCAGGCTGGGGTGAAATGGGCTCTACAAGAGGCAGGGGGAGGAGGAGCTGCTGGTCAGCGCCCAGGGTGGCGGCGGAGAGCAACAGTAAGACTCGGCCACAAGCCACACACCTAGAAGGTGGAGAGGAGAGATCAGAAATAGCTGCAGAGAGAGAGCAATGGAAAACTCAGCACAAACCCACGACAGGGCCTGGAATTAAATACCCGCCCCGTGCAAGAAACAAAAAGTCCTGTTACAAGAGGCAAAGAAATAGGAAAATCCCTGGGCCTTTTACAGCCCTTCCCAGGGGCTGTCGTGTCACCGTGGAAGGACTTATGGGAAGAGAGGCACCATCGCTGGTGGAGAACACCTGTTCTGTCTGTGGGGCTCCCATCAGCACCTTTCGAATACAAATTCCAGAAGCTTGCTGGCACTAGAATCATCTTCTCCTCAGTCCCCCTATCCCCCACTAACCTTAGAAGGCAGAAAGGCACAATGAAAAAAGATGCAGAAAAGTGCAGGCGTCACACCTGCTCTGCCTTGCAAGCTGTGTAGGCTTTGGACAAGTTCCTAATTTCACTGAGCTTCACAAATCTTCCCCAATGAAGATGGGGTGATGATGTTATCCTAGAGCACAACTGGGGAGCATAAACATATTCAGAAAAATAATACTTAAGAGGTCACAGAAGTCTTCACAGTGCCAATAACTAGATGATTCTTGTCATGCTACTGCTGTACACATGAAACCCTGATTCAGTGGTCAGCTCTGTTCTTTTTACCAGATTTTAAAGAAATTAATATCCTGAATTTTAAAGTTGCTATTGGGACTTCCCTGGTGATCCAGTGGTTAAGAATCCTTGCCTTCCGGGCCTCCCTGGTGGCGCAGTGGTTGAGAGTCCACCTGCCAATGCAGGGGACACGGGTTCGTGCCCCAGTCCGGGAAGATCCCACATGCCGCAGAGCGGCTGGGCCCGTGAGCCATGGCCACTGAGCCTGCGCGTCCGGAGCCTGTGCTCCACAACGGGAGAGGCCACAACAGTGAGAGGCCCACGTACAGGAAAAAAAAAAAAAAAGAATCCGCCTTCCAATGCAGGGGACGTGGGTTCAATCCCTGGTCAAGGAACTAAGATCCCACATGCCACAGGGCAACTAAGCCCACACACTCTAGAGCCCACGTGCCGCAACTACTGAGCCCGTGCACCACAACTAGAGAGCCCGCACGCCACAACGGAAGTTCCCACATGCCACAACTAAGACCTAACACAACCAAATAAAGACTTTTTTTAAAAGCTGCTATCCTCTAAGGTTCTGTAGACTTTGTAGATGATGATAAATGGCCACCTTGTTTTACAAAGAAGCTAGGTCCACTATTAGCTGTGTGTTCAAACATGCCCCTGTTACCTAACTTCTCTAAGCCTGAGCATCTTCATCTGTAAAACAGGGATGATAATAGCACCTGTCTCATGCGGGTGACGTGAGGACTCAGTGATGCATGTGTAAGGTGTTTAGTACATCGTCTGATACAACCCAGCCCTCAAAAATGGTAGCTACTCTTATCATTCGAGATCCAACCAGTCAACCACAAACAAAACCCTGCAGACCCAAATCCCGATTCAAAGCTTCATTTACACTGAAAAGGATACGGAAGGCAAAGCCCAAGATACCTGAAAGCCAGTAATAACTCACAAGACAAACCCCAGATCGCAGACGTAGACTGCACCCAGCTGAGGAGGAGCAGGCTTGCTGGGGAAGGGAGTGAAAATGAGGGGCGGACAAGGGCGGGGACAGAGCCACAGAATAGGAATGAACGGAGACCCAACCCCCGCATGCAGCCAGGACCCGAGAATAGCAAGTTACATAGATGAAAGAACGCACAGGTACAGAAGTCTTAGAGCGCTCGGTGTGTCCGAGGACAACCACAGGGGGAAGAAGCAGAATTTTAAATCCCAGGCTCATTTCTCAAGAGGGAGCCAATCCAGAGTCCCCGAGTACTTCCATTTACTTACATTTCAGGGCAGCAGCCTCCCGGGCCGCCCTTACTTCAGCCCAACGGAAAGTCCAATAACCAACGCTAAAATGCCCAGCAACACAACCACTACCACAATGATAATTATCAATTTCTGGAGAGAGGGATAAGAGAGATAAAAACAAGTCATTATTACAAACAACCAGAAAGCCACAGTAAGTCATCCAAAACCCAACCCCTCTGCCTCTACATAGGAAGCATCTTATCAATCCAAATAAATGAAATAAAAAGTCAACATCTCTACATAAAGACACTCTATTAGGATATTTTGTTTCTTAAATTACTTCTGCACTAGCAATGCCAGCAGATGGAAATAGGGAGTTTCCGTCAGCTCTCAGCTCACACGGCAGCCTTCATATGTGCACAGATATAAGGGCAACCATAATGGGGTCTCCAAGCAGCAACAGGCCAAGATATAAGTGACTCATTTGTTCCTTTTCAAGAAGAAGTATAAAGACATTTTTGACATAGTCCTAATTACAAACGTCTGTCCATCTCTCCCCCAAAGTACATTCCCACCTGTCAAACCCAGTACAGTGACTGGGGATCAGAAAGTATGGTTATGGTCCTGTTGCAAACCAGCCTGGATTCATCATGTAAAATAACTTCCCAGCTCCCTAGATACCTGCCCAAGCAATAGGTAAAGTTGGAAGAAAAAGAAAGAATTGAAGAACAAAAATGTCAGAGCCCAAGAGAAATAGAAAAGAGCAGAGGCTAAAAAGCAAAAACCACCAGAGCTAGCCACCACAGTCACTAGGCAGAGAAGCTTAGAAGTCCTCAGGTGACAGGGGCACCGGAACTAGAGGTGGGGGGCGGGCAGTGGAGACAGGATGGAAAGAGCTTGATTGAAAGCTGAATTTGAACCCTGGTTCCTATGCTTCCTAGGTGGCCCGAAGCCAATCACTTAACCTCTGATTCTCAACTGTTTCATCTATGAAGGAGAAATAACAGGTGCTCCCAAGATACAAGATAATGTTCACATAGCCATCAGCACACCACTGGGTTCATGATAGAGAAAAAGAGACCAAGTGGGGCAGGGCTTGGGCTACCGGAGTGGAAGGCAATGAAGGGAGGTTTCTGAGGAGCAGGAGTCAAATGTAATGGCTGAAGGGATCACGAGCTCTGTCCAGGGCATTAGCAGCAACACCTGGGCAGTGATGCAGAGCTGCCTGCAAATGGGGGTTCTTGGGTAGAGAGCACGCGAGCCAGATCCATGCGAGGCACACCTGGGAAGGAAGGGCAGCTATTCTCTAGGGGAAGCTGAGGTAGGCTTTTGGATGAGGCCAAGACAGAGGGAAGGCACAGGCTCAAGGACACAGGTGGGGGCGACCAGAGGGTAGAGAAGCCGGTCAGTCCAGCTGGGACTAAGGGCTCACCCTCCGAGCTTCACTCTGATACTTGACAGCCTTTTTGGTATCTGCCACGGCCCGCTCCACGAAGCCCACTGACTGGTCCATGTTGTTCTCAATACGATCAATCATGGCTCCCTTTCCGCGGACGCAAGAGGTGGGTCCAGCAGAAAGAGGGACGGGGAGAGGGAGGAGAGAAAGAGCGAGAGACGGCGCGCACGGTGGACTCTCTTCTCCGAAGGCAGCAGGAGAGGCTCACCTTCCGGGCCTGACCCTGGTACTTCACGGCTCTTTTGGTTTCCTCCCGAGCCTTCTCCACGTGGTCCACCGTGTGCATGACATTCAACTCTATGTTATCTAACATCTCACCCTGCAAAGGACAGACGCTAGTCACACCCAGGAAACCCACCCCAGGACGGTCCTAGCTCACATGAGAAAGAGGCTCTCTTTCTTTTCAGCACCAAGGAGAGCATCTGGAAACTTTAACGTGCAGCCTTCTGTGGGGCAAACTTGTACAGCTTCCCCGTGATTACCTATGGTTCCCCAGGCCTTGGTGGCTGTCACTCATTCCAGAAACATTCACTCAGTTACTTCTCTGTGACAAGCACTGCACTGGGCACCTGGAGCGCACTGTCTAGATGCCTGGAATATTCTGAAGGATCCCGCCACTTTTTTTTTTTTTTTTTTTTAAAGTATGTGAAGTCAGTTACTTCTCTGTGACAAGCACTGCACTGGGCACCTGGAGCGCACTGTCTAGATGCCTGGAATATTCTGAAGGATCCCGCCACTTTTTTTTTTTTTTTTTTTTTAAAGTATGTGAAGAGAGAAGCCAAGATATTGGGTTGGCCAAAGAGTTCATTTGGGTTTTTCTATAACATCTCACGGAAAAACCCAAACCAACTTTTTGGCCAACCCAATACATCTATCTCATGTTCTTAGGGCATCGCCAGGATGCTGGCTTCTTCCTGGTCATTCGGCCTGAAATGAGTTCATTCACTACTATAGAATAGTGCCGAGCACACATCAGGTGCTCAATAAATAGCTGAGGTGGGAACAGTTGCTTTCTTTAAGGTACTCCCAGGTCCCGCAAGTGACAGACATTGGTTTTACCTGAGTTATCTGGTTAAGAGACAGCAGTCTCTTAATAAGATTCCCAACCTTTGCCCGGCTATTACTTCCTGACCAGAAGTTTGGTCTCTCCAGTTGAGTTCTGTGCATCTTAGGATGGGAATTCCCTTCACCCACCTAGACCTTCCTCAACCCCACCCATGGCGTTATGGCAGTCTCTACACAGAGAACAGAACTTACCATCACTTGGCTCTCAAACCAGTTCCTCGGCAAGGCAGTGTGGGGAGAAAACAGAAGGGTAGGGATGGAGGGGCAGGAGAAATGGTCTCAAAGGCCGCAAGGGGGTGGAAGAAAGGCCCCCGAGCCCAGAGCGGGGAACTGATGTCAAAACCAGCCGAGTGGTGCTCGGGCTTCAGTTAGGTTTCCTTCTATAAAGAAAGCAGTTTTCAATCCTCTCCAGGTGGCAGAGCCACGGGGAGTTCATGGTAATAGTGGCACCAAACCATGACACAGTGGTGAATTTAACTGCATCATCAGAATCAGGAGACGTGTGACTATGTGACACTGATACCATATGCTGGGGACAGAGCCATCCATCCCTGAGCAGGCTTACCCAGGACAAAACAGACTGTCAAGCTAAGCACTGTGAGAGTTTCCAGTTTTTCTGTAAACACTATTTCGCTGTCCCTTCAATCCTTTTGTTGTCTGCTCCTGTTCCTTAGCAAAAACTGTCAACACTTTTGGAAAAACACACATACAGAAGAAAAAACAAAAATGGAAAAATACAAAAACCTCTGTTAAACCTAACTTTTCACCATAAACTGGGGAAAAGGCCCCATGTTTTCAGTGTCACCAGTGAAACAGTTCCTATCAGGAGATTGTTTTAAGGCATCCCCGTTAAGAGCCCATATCTCTAATTTTACAAAGACAACGATCCTGAGGCTGGAGGGAACCAGGTACTTGACAGAGCACATCAAACCCCATATTAATTAGAAATGACCTCCAGGACGAAGTAACAGGCATGAATGATGAGGCTGCGATTGCCCAAAATGTCAGCATCTACTACGCAATTTCCCAATGATTCTCCCACCCCACCCGGCTTTCCCGGAGTCCCGTCTCACCCTTCTCGGGAAGCCGCGGGCTTCCTCTCCCCGCTGCCCACGCGGCACCCACTGTTACCTGGTTCTCCACCAGCATGGCGATGTCCACGAACATGTCGTGAAGCTCCTTGATGCTGCTCTCCAGCCTCACGATGTCCTTGTGCCGTCCCTCGATCTCACTGAGGGCTTGCTTGGAAATCTGAGAGTCGATGATCTAGGCCAGGCCGCACAGAGACCGACCATCTGCCATCACGCCTGCCACAGCCTCACCACACCCCTGCGGGGCTCCCGCCGCCCCGCCCTCCCGGCCTTTGCAGCCCAGCCCACCCCCACCATCACTCACCCCCGAGGTGAAGATGGCAGGGTTCCCACTCTCCAGCATCTCCTCCAGCTCCCCATCTGTTGTCTTCCTGCCGGCTTTACAACAAAAGGAGAGCATCAAACATAAGGTCAACACTCACCATTTCAAAAGTTCCCTGAAAGGGCTTCCCTGGTGGCGCAGCGGTTGAGAGTCCGCCTGCCGATGCAGAGGACACGGCTTCGTGCCCCGGTCCGGGAAGATCCCACGTGCCGAGGAGCGGCTGGGCCCGTGAGCCATGGCCGCTGAGCCTGCGCGTCCGGAGCCTGTGCTCCAGGACAGGAGAGGCCCCAACAGTGAGAGGCCCGCGTACCGCAAAAAAAAAAAAAAAAAAAAGTTCCCTGAAAATGGGAATACAGTAAGTTCACTCTAAAGACCATGGCCTTACAAGCCTCCTGACTCTCCTTTCTCTGGATTTCTCCCCTAATCCAATCCGTCCTCAACATTATCAGCAGTTACCTTCCTGAAGCCCATGTCTGATGACATCCCTTTCCAGCTCAGAATGTCTCCTGGCCCCCTTCACTCCACCACGGATTCCAAGGTCCTCAGGACAAGGGCCCAGTTCCTGGGTGAGCCCTCCCTCCATTCGCCTTAACCTCACCCTGCTCCACCCAAATGCACCCTGTTCCCAGGCCCTGGACGGCCTCTCCCTCCTGAACACGCGTGCTTTGTTCTGCCCGCGCCCTTGTTCATTCGGTTCCTGCGCTCAAAGCACTTTCCGCCCTGTGGGGCCCTGCAGTCCAGTTTCTGATTCCTAAAGGGCATGGCTGTAGTAACTTCTTTATTCCTCATGGCAACTAGCACCATTCTCTGCTGTCAAACAGGCAGCAAAAGATGTCATGAGCCCCAAGGAGTGCAGCCGTGTAGCGAGTGCTTCCTTCCATGGATGCAGAAACGCTGGCTCCCACGGCAGTCAAAACGACTTGGGCCTGGTAACTCCGAGCCATCTTTCAGCCTAAGACGCAACATCCAGGATGCACCAGTGCTGTGAGGCCTGTCCCCAGCTTGGGCACAAAAGAGAAGGCAGAAGCCACCAGCGGGGCTGCTGCTCCCTCTCCCCTGGGAGAGGGGAGGACACGACTGGGGACGGACAAGCACGTGGCAGGAAGGGTGAAGGGGCACAGGCCAAACTTCAAACACGCACTGATCTCGAGCTGCCGCTGGATTCGCCCTTTGCTGCGTTCACGGAAGTCCACCTGGGCCTCGTTGTATTTGGTCATCACCTCCACAAACTTCCGGGAGAGGACGGAGTGCTGTGGGAGCAAGGTCAAATGCTGTGAGCCCCCAGGAGGTGAGGGAGGGGAAGGTCCACAGCTCTTATAGAACCCCAGCCCCTACGCAGCCTCATCTACAGCAGCACTGGTCCTGGAACCAGAAGACCAGGGACAACTCGTGGTGGGAATGTAAATGGGTACAGTCACTGGAAAACAGTATGGAGGTTTCTCAAAAAACTAAAAACAGAACCTACCATATGACCAACACTTCCACTCCTGGGTACATATCAAAAACACCCCAAACATTAATTTGCAAAGATACATGCACCCCAATGTTCACAGCAGCATTATTTACAATTGCCAAGCAACCTAAGCATCCATCAACAGATGAATGGATAAAGAAAATGTGGTATAGATATCTACAGTGGAATACTACTCAGCCATAAAAAAAAGAGTGAAATTTTGCCATTTGTAGCAACATGGATGGACTTGGGAGGCATAAATGAAATAAGACAGAGAAAGACAAATACTGTATGATATCACTTATATGTGGAATCTAAAAAATACAGCAAACTAGTGAATATAACAGAAAAGCAGCAGGCTCACAGATTACGAGAAGGAGCTAGTGGTTACCAGTGGGGCGGGGAGGGCAATATAGGGGTGAGGGAGTGAGAGGTACAAACTACTGGGTGTAAGACAGGCTCAAGGATGTACTGTACAATACGGGGAATACAGCCAACATTTGGTCATAACTGTAAATGGAAAGTAACCTTTCAAAATTGTATAAAAACGAAAACAGAACAAAACAAAAAACAAAGACCAGGTACAAGACTCAGTTTTTTGGTTTCCGAACTTTACACCGTTGGAAAAGTCGGCTGACCTTTCCAAAGCATGTTTTCAGTATCTATTAACCTGTCTTGCTGAACTCCTATATGGTAACTGTGAGGCCAAAGGAGATACCCTGTGAATCTCAGAGGCCCTGTTTTCTAAAGTTGCCGGACTCCCGGACTAGATGGCTGTTAGGCCAGGGAACATCTCACCTGGGATTTCCGAATCCGAAGGTCTGCTGACGACCGGACCTCGTCTTCTTCAATATGCCTCTCCATGCCTGGATGGGAGAGGAGGTTGTTCTAGCATCTGCTGCTCTCCCCCAAGAAACACACTGTGCAGTGCGGCCTCCTCTCTCTTTCTCACACACCCGGCCCAGGAGACGTAACAGCAGGTAGGTCCAGCCTCAAAAGGTCAGCTCACACCTGAGCCACGGGACATGCGTTCCACGGCCTTTACTACCGGCGGACCTCTCAGCACAGTGGTTAACGGCATGAGTCTCTGTCACTAAGAGACTCGGACTCAAATCCTTGCCACTTAGTAGCCATGTCACTTTGGAAAAGCCACCTAACGTCTCTTAGCGTTCCTGTTCTCTCGTCTGTAAAATGGAACAAACAGCAGTGCCCCCCGAGCAACACCAACGTGAAAATTAAATGAGAATGCACACAGAGGCCTCGGCACACGATCACGGCTATGACTGGAGGCTGCCACTAACGACTTCCACCTCCACCCGCACGAAAACAGGCAGTACAGTCTGTTTGGGGGGAAGAAATGATAAACTAGGCTGAGCAATGCTGCTTGCACTCTCAGACCAACAGCATATGCACTTGTCCCCAAGTACAGTGGGGCAAGAATGCAGATGGTAGCCATGGAACTAAGGAACCTTCCGGGCACCCAGAGGAACTGAATCTACGACAGTGGCTTCACCGAACAATGCCCTAAATTGAGGGGTGGGCACGGGGGTGATGGGAGGGTGATACCTGGCCCCCAAGAAATGCCTCCAGACTCTGTAATCCATCTGGCCTCCATACATCACTAACATCACTGTTTAAATGTACGTAGGTGCTGGGGAAGGAAATGGGACCAGGAAGAGAAAAGTCGAGGGACTAAGCTTAGCGACCAAGTCACCCAAATATCCGGTAGCTGAAAAGCACACTTTCATTCCCATCTCCGAACTTAAATTCTGGACTCTCTCAACCACGGTCATGACTCGAGAGCAGGTAAACCGTCTGGGGCTCTAACAGGTCATTCCAGGGACAGTGCCAGACCACAAGCAAAGACGGCAAAAGGGTGGTGTCACTCCCGTCAGGGAGAGTTTCGGTCCGGAAGAGCCAGACCCCGGATGTGAGGCGGACGGCGGGGGCGCTGCCAGCTCCCTTTGCTCCTTTCTTACTCTTCAGTTTATTCCGGACATTGTTGGCCCGTTTCTTGATCTCAGTCGTGAGCTGCTCCAGGTCATCCTTGGTTTCTGGATAAACAAATGCAAGGCAGAGTCAGTTAAAAGAGACTGAAAGCTCAGTCAGCTACAACAATCAACACAAGAGGAGGTGGGGAGCTTTCTCAGGTGCCCACTGCCCACAGCAGTATGTACCCCGGTGGGCTCTCAAGACATCTGTCATTAGAATCACAGAAAGCTTATTTTTAAAAGGCATATTTTTTCCCCCGGCATCCTACCCCAGAACTACAGAATAAAAACACCTCGTGGAAAATTAGGGGGGTACTGGGGAAGCATTTCAGGCAGAGGAAATGGCACAGGAGCAGTGGTGGGTGGGGCAGAGATGAGGTGTGTCGGCAGCTGTAAGAGCCGCTGCCAGTCACGAGAGGGACCAGCTGGGAAGGAGAGGAGAATTTGGCTAAATGGGTTGGACCATGAAGAGAAGAGGTAACAGCAGCAGAGCAGTGACCAGGAGAGGGTACAGGAGGATGGGAGATGACACGGCGCATATGTTAGTGTAAAGGTAATACGCCGCCGCCCCTGCTGCTAACAGAGGGAGGAAACCAAGGCCCAGCCCCAGTGGCCAAGGGTCACTGTTGGGTGATTCAGCCCTGAGTCAACACTCACTTGGCTCTGGAATGGGTGCAGACAGAATGACGCTGTACAGCTTCTTAGCTTCCTCCACGTGCTCTGAGATCTTGTCAATGTTGAGTCGAGTTTCCTCGATCTATAATTAGAAAGATGAGAGCCTTTGTCATCAAGAGGAAGAATATAGCCAAGACTGAGAGGAAAACAGAGCTCCCTGCCCACCTTCTGGGTTTGTGGAAGATGGTGACAGGAAATGTCTTCTGAGGACCAGTGAGCCCAGTGAGTACCCTTTCCATAGCCAGAGAAACGAACGTAAACAGAGCAGTCATTGAAGACCCATCCTCGTTGCTCCCTGAGAGGGATACGTTTACTCACCTTGGATGGGAAGACCCCAGCCAAGAGTCAAGAAGGGCCAGGACAACTCATGAGGAATAATCAGAGTGAAGGGTCAAGAAACCTTACCAGGCAGATCCCCAGCTCCTCCAAAAGTGGAACAGCAGAAAGTGAGGACAGGAGAGAGGGAAAAAGGAAAGAAAAAGAGGGAAAGGGAGAAAACAAACCTGGAGAGTGAGAAACACGGAGAGAAGAATGAGAGGAAGAGAAAGACAGAAACAGAGATGGGGAGAGAGAGAGAGAGAGAGAGAGAGAGAGACGAAGCAATGACCGTCTCAGGAGATGCTGAGCTTCTCTTGGACATGTGTTCTGGGGAAACGCCTCTTACTAGCTGATCGCCTTAGACGATCAACACCCAGGAGCTCAAGCCGTGGACCATTTCTGCCCATTTCTGAGGTTCCTAACTGTACAAGGTGTGTATCAGAAAGTACTTCTAGCCGCGCCTCATTCCCAGATGGAACACCATCCCAGGACGCTGCTGCCTGAGCATTTAAGTTCAGCCTCAGCTCCCTCTTCAAAGGCACCGGCTGTCCTGGCACCACGGCCTCTGCTGCGGTGCCAGTGCATATGCAGGGAGCAGCACATGCCAAAGAGACCTCAAAACCCACCACATCTACCTGCCTCACTTCCACAATGAGGGGCACATCAACACGGCCACAGTCAACAAACAGAAATCTTGTAAAATGCCAAAGAGTAGGATCTTAACACCTGAGATACAACGAAAATACAACTCAATATGCAGCTTCCGGCAGCCCTTCCTTCTGGTGAATAATTCACTTAAAGAAAAAAAAAAAAAAAACCCTGATCACAGCTCTCCAAATTACAAAGAAATAAAACTTGAGTTCTCTACCCCTCAAATTAGTAATTTTGACAGTGGAGCGGGGATTTGACCCTCTACAAATATGGGTTGGCCAAAAAGTTCCTTTGGGTTTTTCCCATAAGATGTCACAGAAAACTTGAACTTTTGGGCCAACCCAATATATTGGCTTTGATGCACCACAGTTTGAGAATGGAATTACTTGCTTAAAGATGCAGAATAAACAAAACAAAACAAAAAACAAACAGAAAAACCAAAAAGAAAGATACAGAATACACTTTCAGTATAATAATATCATCAGAGTGTAAATACAAGTAGCTAGCCAAACATTTGTGAAGCATTTTCACAGCTGGCAAAACAATCCATAGCATTGCATTCAGACCATTATTGAAATGAGGTAACTAAGGTTGAAGAGGTCATAGGTCACAGGGTTGGTGGTAGGGGCAGCACTCAAATAGTGCTCTCCAGAGTCCGACTGCGGTGCTTTTTCCATTAGAGCTAAGACAATGTTTACAGCTTCTTCATACTGCATCACTTTCAGCAGCATCCCAAGCCTACCCAGTTACCAAAAAGGCCTGTGTTATCACCTGTGAACACTGGTGGCTCTAGGGGTGTAACCACCTCAGAGTCAGGGCCTCGGGGGACCCAAGAAATTGCCACCTTACCCTTCCCTCTCTCTTCATCTCTCCCATCAAACACTGACTCCTCTTCCAACTCCTAAAGTGTCAGCGCATCACACCACGTTTCCATGTCCCTCACGTGACTGTCTTGCCAGAGCTATTACACTGTATAAAACAGGACTGAGAAAAAAGACTTTCTAGAATAACATGTCCTTGCCATTTTAAAATGAATTTTAACAATGGACCGAATCACCCTCTTTTGAGAAGCCAGAGGCCTAAGGTTTTGCATGTTCAACAGATTGGATGCCTTAGAAAATAGCTCCTGGAATATTATTTCATCAAGTGAAGAGCATCCTGACCCAAAGCTGGGTCAGTGGTAGGGAGACGAGATAGGAAGTTTTTAGGATGAGACTGTTGGACCCCAAGCTTAGAGTCACTCCAGGAACTCAGAGACCAGATGGTAAATGGGCCTCGGGCTCCGTCCTCAACCTGCCCACAGAACTTTCCAGGCCTGGGGCCTCCACCCCCGCCTCCAGTCATCCTCCACCCACGGCAGTTGCTCTCTTCCCTCTGTCCTCAACCACCTCACCATTTGGAGGTATTTCAGGGCCTCTGATTTAGCAATCTAGTAATTCAGTCAGTTCACCAAACAACCTCAGAATCCCTTCAGGACTTCAGGATGGGTGACTGGCCGATCACAGAGCTTTTTTTTTTTTAAACTTTGTGTCTCTGTTTTTTCTCGGAAGCGTTAGTTTTTCTCGAGGGTGACTTTCAGAGTATAGACATGCAATTAATTTCCTTTTGTGCATTTGCCAGACAACCAAAGATCGGGGCAGGGGGGACAGGGCTAGCAGGAAATCTGCCAGTTGCTGTATCTAAAAGTTCAAGTGCTATTTGTCTGTGTGTTTGTTTGGGGTTGTTTTAAATAGACTGACATTACCCTGCACAATAATATATTTTAAGAACTAAACCCGATTTAACATATACCTGTCCCAGAAACAAGGCCCTTCACTGGATGTCTGTGAGGTAACCATCACTATGTCCTTTTTATGCACAAGAGCACTGCGGCTCAAAGAAATTGAGGAGGTCAATAAAGGCCATAACTGCAGAAAGAGGCAAAACCGAGGTTTGAACCAAGGCAACTGTTAAATCCAAACCCTGTCTCCTGAACCAGGTGAAGGTGCAAGAATCACCTACGGGAAGCTCTCTATCTTCTCTCCCAGGTCCGTGTGTATTCAGCCTGTGTCAGGGAATGTGTGTGATCCACTCACCAGTTCTGTGAGATTGGCTCAATTACCTTTGACTCACATCATGTGCCTTATTTCTTTGTTCTCCAACCAAGCCTCCCTGTAGAGAGCTTTTTACACAAGGAGAGCTCAAGCAACTCAGTCAAGCTGCTGACTGAGGGAACCAATCTGCAAGTTTTTTTTTTTTTATCGCCATGCTAAATTTGCAGCTAATACATCGCCAATGCCCACTTATTGTTTGTTACTTTTTAAAATGTATTTTTCAACGATTTGTCAATAATGGGGCAAGCTAGATAGCACAGTTTAAGAAAATAAGTTAGAATCATACCAGGTTCACGTTCTGGCTCCACCCCTTAGCAGTTTTTTGACCTTGAACAAGCCTCTTACCCTCTCTGAGCCCCAGTTCTCTCATCTGTGAAACGAGGATTATCATATTTCCCACTTCCTAGAGTTTGTGTGGGCATTAAATGAGATAAGATATGTCAAAGGCTTAACACAAAGTACATGCTCAATAAACGTCAGATGGTGATAAAGACAAAAATAGCCAGCAACTACTGCACATTTATTGTGCGCCAGGTACTACGCTGAGCCTTTACAAGCAATGTCTCATTTAATCCTCACAGCAGTGCTAATGTTAACAAAATGTTCTGTGATGTCAGTAGCCACCCAAGGAAATCCAGTAAGGACAGCAAGTCAACCACCCTTCACATTGGGTGTCTGCCTCATGGAACCAACTATAATTACCACAGTATATAGGCTGCCCTCTGTATCCTCAAGTTCTGCATCCATGGATTCAACCAACCCTGGATCGAAAATACTCAGGGAAAAAAAAATTCCAGAAAGTTCGAAAAAGCAAAACTCAAAGTTACCACACTAGCAACTATTTAACATAGCATTTACATTGTATTTATAACTATTTACATAGCACTTACATTGTATTAGGTATCATAAGTAATCTAGAGATGATTTAAAGTATACAGGTGTGTGTAGATTATATGCCAATACTATGCCATTTTATATGAGACTTGAGCGTCCACAGACTTGGTATCCACGTATACCGTCCACAGAATTGGTATCCACCAATTCCCCCCACCCCCGCAGATACCGAGGAAGGACTGTACTAATCACCATCATCTAACTAAAAGGAGGGAGTTATTTTCAAGGCATGGATGGCCTCTTCCCTCTGGACGTAATTAGCCAGTGGAATCTAATCCAATGTAATGTAATGTAATCTAATCTAAAAGCAGAGAAAATACTACTTTGGAGACTGGCAGATGCCGTGGGGTAAGGTATAAGGCTTTGTCTCTTATATCTAAAATGTCTCTGCCTCCCCTAAATTCCCATGTGTCTTGTACCTCTTAAGTTAGGCATTAAATCTTACATATTTATTTATTGAAAACTTATTATATGTCACCTTTTGAAGGCGACAGAAGTAATGGGGTTGTAAGGGTCAAATAAATGACTCTTGCTTTGCACAATTCATATACCTTTACTTTTCTCCAAAAATAGCAATATCCAAAACAGTCCTTGTATTAGAAGTTCTCGGTGAAGTCCTCCTTGATTTGTTTGCTTCTTTGCTTTGGAAAACAAACATTGACAAGGGACAGAGAAAGGTCTCAGTCAGCCAAGCAACAGAAGTCAAGCCCCTCAAGGAGTTTTACCAAGACTGAGAGTAGTATGTCAACTCTTCTTTTACGAATGAAAAGAAACATGATCTCAGAGTTATACTGACCAGTGAAAAGTAGTAGTCTTGGACAATCACCTCAAATCAATTAAGTGTATCTGGGCTTTGCATCATCACTCAAAGTAGGGTCAGGAAAATAAACTAGTTATTTTAACCGAAGTAATTGGGTAGTTTGGGTAGTTTGGGTAGTTTTCCTCTCTCATAAAAAGGACTTCTGAGCTTTTCTGGCTGCCCACTGGGAAATACAGGGAATTCTTGACACAGCGATGCAAGAGCTGAGAAGCCAAACAGAGGATGGTGAAGCACTCTGGAAATGAGCAAGTGCAGGCTGGAGGGACGAAGAAGGAAGGCAGGGTCACCAGGGCTCCTCTGATGGGA